AGGTCGTCTTATCTACTTGACTAACACAAGGCCCGATTTGACATTTACTATTAGTGTGGTTAGTCAATTCATGCATGGCCCTTGTTCAGCTCATATAGATGCAATTTACTATATTTTGAGGTATCTTAAGTCATGTCCTGGTCTTGGTATGTTCTATACTTCAGGAAATCAGTCTGGACTCTCATGCTTTACTGATGTAGACTATGCTAGATGTAAGTGTGACAGCCTAAGTTTTGTAAACCCGGTACGTCGGTGATGACCAAAAGATGACCTGATAACGGATCTAAAATGCAGAAGCAAAAGGTGAAACAAAGGTCTCTAGAGATACAATGCGTCTCTAAGACACCAATGTGACCCTCAATGAGATCACGGAACCCAAAGAAAATAAATGCGGAAGTGACGTTTTGAAAATGGACAAGAAAGAACCCAGGGGAAAAATGGTCATTTCCAAGGTAAAAGTAGGTACTACCAAGCACACCATTGGAAAGACAACAAAAAATTAATGAACTTAGACTCAAAAATCACTTGATTCGGAATCCGGATGAAGAAGATATGGCTAATAGAAGAAAAAAGGGCAAAAAGATCAAAATAGTCAACCCTAGGTCATCTAACCGATTAGGAGTCAAAAATAGTGAGTTCAGTATTCTGCCCACGCTCATGTAACCGGTTACGAGATCCCTTCTAACCGGTTAGGAAGCAAAAAACAGAAAGTTCAACAAAAACCTGGTAGTAGGGGTTTTTTAGAAGAAAAAAAAATAGAATTTTGAGGGCCAAGATGACATTTTCTGGAATAACAAAAAGAAGAACCCCCCCCTCCCCCCCTAGAAATCAAGTTTTCTACTCGGCAACGCGGGTGAAAATGAAAAAAAACACATTGTGAAATACCCGAAATTCCCCTGGAACAGAATAGGGTAAAAACTCAAAAAAATGCAACCTTAAGTTTTTGTTTCATCAAGAAGGGTATTGTTTGCCAAAGTGAACATACAAGTGTATGTAATATGATAAAATAGATGTGCTACAATGGCCTGTGGCCTCATTACAATACATTTACAAGTTTTGGCATACTAAACCCCAAATTCTGACAAATAAGCTATAATGGCAATACTTTAGTTTTAAAGAAAACATACTTGTAACCTTTCAAGTTAATGACCCTTGGCCTTATGTCATACATGCAAAATGAACATTTCCAAATGTACTTAGATACACATTACAAGAAGGAAGCCATCTTAGCTTCTAAAATACCATACATCCATGGTATACAAAATATATCATCCAAAATAAAGCATGCTAAACAAGTGCATATCCATATACAAAAATGCTTCAAGTAGCTCATGAGCTTCTAAGGATGATGAGCATCCAAAAACATTGTCTCCTTACCTGTAAAATAACCCACACAACTAGGGTGAGTAATCAAGTTATTCGTAGGAAGAAGCATATGCGTATACCCTAAAGTTTCAATATCATTGTAAGATCAATATAGACGAATACAAAGGAGCATTCCACTTAACGTCTATGTTTAAGGTGTTCTAAGGGATCATCTTAAGCTAACTTAAATGATTCTTTTAACAACACATATCAACATCAATGTACTTAACAACATCAATTCACAAATAACAAAAATTACAAGTTACAATTAAGCATTGGTTGTCAACTTGGAATTGAATGCGAAATCAATTAGTGGAAGACTTGGACATCACGTCTCAGGGTAAACCAAGATCAATACGGTTATTCCGGGCATTAACCCGCTGGGAAGACCACCCTAGTGTATATCTCAATTAGGGAGAACTCATACCTCTCGCACTAGAGCCAAACTCTAGCCATGTCACTTGTAACAATGTCCCAAGAGAATCCAAAATATATCAAGTTCAAAACTTATATACCATAATTTAAGGCATGTAAACCACCTTCCATGCACAAGTATTTTTGAAACCACACAAACCATGTCTTAGGGTTCCAAGTCTAAAATGGCATAATAAATGACAATTCTCATTATGATATAATGCACAAAACAATATCACTAACTTATCAATTTAAATCATGCCTCAACAATAAGCTTTATCTTCTAAATCTTAACATTTTAGCAATAAACTCCTAAGATAATTACAAATAGTAATCAATAAGAGTATAAAATTATCATCACAATATTTATAGCAATTCAAGTTAACAAGACTTGCATATAACATCAATAATTCTACTAGAGTTCTATATCACTGCCACATGTGAAGATACTAGAATTTAGCACACTACAAAATCATGTAATTCTTCTACACAAGATATATGCATATCATACATGCTTATATCAATAAACCTTAAGTCAAAAGTGAGGGTTTCCTATAATATGTAAGACTATCATATTAAAAGCATGTACACAATATATATTAAACCCCAAATGATTTTAAAACACTTAAATTATAAATATACTATCACCCCTACCTCAATAAAAAATTGAATCTCTATAATCCAAAGCAACCAAACACAAAATGGATGAAAAGTCTAGGGTTAATGAAGAGGAGAGTGAGAGGAAACTTTTATCTTCCAAGGTTTATGGTCTAAGGTGAATGGAAGGAGGCAAAAAATGAAGTCAAAGTTCTAAACCAAGTTTTTCCTTCAATGGTGGCTAGGTTAGGGTTTTGAGAGCAAGTGAAATGAAAAAAATGAAGTGAAAAATGGTGAGTGGAGGATCTAGTATTCCTCCACTCACTATGTGCTCTTACACTACCTCTTACACACACACAATGCAAGACTAATTTATCAGCCTACACTTGTCACAAATCTAAGGCTCCTTCCTAAGCTTAATCTCAAGTTTACACTTGTCAACCATCTAAGCCAACAAGTGTACCAATCTTAGGCTAATAAGTAGATGAATCTCCACCCTTCAAATGTCAAGAGATCATGCTTTCAAACCACTCTACCCCAATGCCAACAAGTGGCACCATGAGAATGTGACACTTGTCACATTTATCAAAAATTGCAAAAAAAGTTATTTTCCAAAATATCTCCCAAATTAAATTACAAAATGGTACCTAAGACGAAAACTAATTATTTTACATAATTACACTAAAACCCCAAAAATCAAGAATATTTATAAGAAAGTATGCATCCATGCCCTTTACGAAAAAAATAAGCAACTAGAATGTATTTTCTACAAAAGTAAAAATACAAATGTCATGGAAATCAAATATCGTGGATGCATGTAAAGCCGAAATCAAATCTGAGCACAAAAAGTGAGGTTATGTAAAGAAAATGATAAACGGGAAAAAGACGAAATAGGAAAAAGACAAAAAAGGGAAAAGACGAGAAAAAAAGAATTCACCGAAAAAAGAAAGGAAGAAAAATGACCGGGTCATTACAGTAAGATAGATAGAAGTTCTACCTCTGGCTTCTGTACTTTCTACAGTAATCGTCTCATATCATGGAAGAGTAAGAAGCAAGCTGTTGTCTCCAGATTCTCTGCTAAAGCTGAATACCGAGCTATGGCTCAAGATACTTGTGAACTCCTTTGGCTTCAATCAATTTTGGGAGAATTGGGTGCTGTAGAAAAAGGTTCTTTAAGGCTGTTTTGTGACAATAAATCAGCCATTATGCTTGCTTCAGATTCTGTCTTTACATGAAAGGTCGAAACATATTGATGTATACATTCACTTTATTCGAGAGAAGGTTCAATCAGGTATCATTAATCCTATTTTTGTTCCCTCTTCAGAACAGACTGTAGATGTGTTCATAAAGTCTGTCGGGCTTTCTCTTCTCCGGTCTTCCATAGTCAATTGGGCTTGGTCAACATATTTGCTCCAACTTGAGGGGGAGTGTTATAAATCATATCTATAAGTTGACTCAATAATTCTGACAAATTTATTAGGTCTTCATTATAGGCTAATGTTTAGGGATTTATTTTTATTTTGATTTGATTTTATTCTCTTTCCATATTTGTAATTTTCCTCTCGTATATAATGATAGTCAGGCTCTCAAATTGCGCCAATTTTACCAAGTTACTTTTTATACTAATAAAATAAGGGTAATTTAACTACCTAAAAGGGGCGGGGCGGGGCGCCCCGTCCCGAACCTGCGCGAGTTTTAATTAATATAAATCATCTCCGCCTACATAGACTAAATGGTCCCCGAAACCGTTATAAATGGGGCGGGTACCCATCCCTACTGGATAAATTGCCATCCCTATCCTTACTTTAAAAAAATACTATAAATCATCACTAGACACCAAATTACTAGTTTAACAGAACCAATGTATTTACATTTTACCAATTGAGTACAAATATAACACAAGGTATATCTGATAAACCCTACAAATTAACGTTTAAAATCGCTAGACACGACGTGACGTGAATTTACCATCTTCAATACAACTGTTTTTCTTTTCTGTAAATTATTTTATTTTTTATAAATCTATTATGTAATTGTTAACGGGTGGAAACCACTGTTGAGTAATGAGTTTTTGAGGTAGACAGTACATGCGGGCCTCGAATTTGACTATCGGTTACACAAATGTGGACTGTTGGGGAGCCGTTGGATTTCAACTTCAAAAGTCACACCACGCATTGCCAAATAATCAAAAGTAATATTGGGTATGAGGCTCTTATTTATGCTTAAATCTGAACTTAAAGTTGATCTTCCTTCAAAGTGATCCTATATATAAATGTTTTTGTCTATAGGATCACTTTGAAGGGAGATCTGAACTTTAAGCTCAGATTTAAGCATAAATATTTGTGTAAATTAAATTAATTATTATAAATATTTATAGTAATAAAAGAAATAGTCCAATTTTAAGAATTTTTGAATTAAATTTTAATTTTATTTTCACGAATTGGATTTTAGAATTCTGACCGCAAAAATACAACTCTAATAAAAGTCAGTCACATATGTAAAACAAAACAAAATAAAGACAAACTGTATACCCAAATCCAAAAGAATATTACAACCGAGTACATTTAACATCAATAAAAACAGTATAATCAAAAAGTATTGCCACCCCTACTAAAAACTATGAATCTTATATATATATTTTTATAATTTTTTAGATTAGAAGTATGATAATGCATATAATGTAATGGAAATTAAAAGTTCAAAAATTATTATTCAAGAAAAAAAAAAAACTAAATTTTAAAACTAAATTCGTACAGTGAATTGCTAAAAGCTTTATGCTCCTTTGATTTAGTAGGTGTGTATGTTTGGCAATAAGTTAAAAAAAATAATAACCCGAGTTTTTTTTTTAAATTTTTGGCAAAAAAAAAAAAAAAAAAAAAAGTTGACTCGACTTAAACCGGGTCGAACAGTAGTACTCTTACAACAATCCGACACCGTCCGGGTTTCAAACATAGCTTAATTTGCCCGCCACTACACTGTTATAATAAACCCCTCCACAAAACCCTACCTTTCTTTCAATCCTCCCTCCAAAACACTCTCTCTCTCCCTCTAAAATTTTCGGGTTTTTTCAACGCTACAATTCTCCTCCCCTACCAACATTCCTCCGTCATCCGGTCTGGGGCTTTGATTTCAATTCGAAGCCCTAGCATTTCACCGGTCAATTTCTGTTCTGAAATTAGGGTTAACACAGCATCATACAAGGAAGAAGATGTCTGGGGATAACGAGATTGTGATGCGTGATGTCGCAATTGCTGGTCTCGTAGTGAGTGACCGCATTGGTCGAGATGTAGCAGCTCAGCTCGACCTTGAAGAAGCCCTAGAAGCTTCCCGATACGCTAGTCATCCATATTCAACTCATCCCAGAGAGGTAATTTTTTTCCTCATATATAAGAATTGCTTTGATTTCCGTCGTCTTTTTATGTTCTTTCGAAGAAAGTTGTCATTTGGTTGCTGAGAAAGCTTAGGAGAAGAAAAGAATGGTGTTGCATCTTCTATTTTCGTGCTGTTTTAGTCACAATTTGCTACTTCTTGAAGCACCATTAGATGGGGATTTGTCTACATGGACCTATCTCCTTAAAATTGTCAAAATTGGGGAGAAAAAAAGGCTGGGTTATCCTTGATTTTTTGGAGTGAGTACAATATGTGGTCAATGAGAATATGTTTAATTGGGTCCCTTTTGAAGCCAATCCATGTTGTATTTAAGTCTGTAAAGCATCTCTCTCTTTCTTCTGTCTTTTTGGGTGGGGATAATGGGAGGAGAATCCACTCGTGATATTGAAAAAACTTTAGCTGCAATACCTTGCAGATGATACTATCTATCAGTTCCATTGATCATAGTGTTGTGGTATCAGTGCAATCTCTAATTACTGTTTGCTTCTGATTACTTTCTGTTGCTTGTATGCTTGCTTGGATAAGGATTTTTTCCTTCACATTGTTCAATGCTTTTGCAGTGGCCTCCTTTGGTTGAAGTGGCGGACACTTGGGAGTTGCCTCATGTGCTTATTGAGAGATATAATGCAGCTGGTGGAGAAGGAACTGCTTTATGTGGAATATTTCCAGAGATACGCAGAGCATGGGCATCGGTAGACAACTCTTTGTTTCTTTGGCGTTTCGATAAGTGGTGAGATTTATTGATTTCTGGCAAATGAGTACTTACTTGTTTCACTTCTTAAAGATTCTTTTTTTGTATGAATGACTATTCGTTTGATCATCCAGTCATTTGCCGTACTATGGAGTGAACTTACTGTTATAATAGGTTAAACATGATGCATCTACGAGAGTGCATTCAGAGAACATATGAATCTAATATTTATCTGATGATAACAATTCTACAATATGAATAAATCATTTTTTCTATTTCAAATTAAGTTCGAAAACTAGTTATGGATAACATAATATGACTAAATAATATGAGCCACAAATAATTCGAATCTACTTTTGGAGAAGGACAGGGAAAGATGAAATTAGGATTTTTGATAAAGTTTGTGTTAAATTAAATATATATTTTTATTTTAATATTTCAATATTTAAATTTAGGGTTATTTTTGTCTTTTCATAATTTAGGGTTTATATGGGAGTAGTGTTTGATTAGGGTTTATGTCAGTGCCTATATATTAGGGCTTGGTACATTGACTTGGACACCTTTGATGATTATTGAATATTGAGATTGACTACAGATATCTCTTCACCTATTTATTCTTCTTCTATGTTCTCTATTGTCCTACATAAAGCCTTTTGTCCAACATCAAATTGGTATCAGGGTAAAAGATCCGAGTATGGAGCGAAAAATCAAAGTCAGATAGCACTGACATAAGACCCCAACTTGAAGCACCATCATCGTTTGCCACTCGCGTTCCGACTATTAGAGACACAACCAACCAAATAGTTTTCATATAAAGCAAAACCCAAACTACTGACCAATCAACAACCCCATTGTGACATAACCGCTACCGAAGTCCCAAATCACGTGTTCCCTTCACCCTCGCAAGCATCTATAAGCACCGCTGCAAGTCATCGTCGGAAACCATAGTTGTGGTTTCCAAATTCTGCTTTGCATTGTCGTCACAAATCACTAGTCCCTTCGTCATCATCTTCTTCTTCTTGGCATCGTCTCCTTACCGTTGCACCATCGAGAATATATGCCGCTTACAGCCGCCTTCATTAGTTTCACAATCTGTCCTCTTCGGAGTCACATCTCGTCATCTTTGTTATTGGAGCACCATCATCTCATTGCCAGCCATTTCATAGTCGCCTCACCTTTGTTCACCACTAAATAAGCCTGCTTGCTTGCTCCATCAACTTGGTAAATGCAAGCATTCGGTTTAATTTATAAACTAAGGTCAACGCGATCCACAAACCGGTTCAATCCCGGGATCAGTCCTTAAAAAAGCAACCCAAATTTGGATCCTGATTGGATTATTTGTTTTGGTCCAGTCCATTTTCGCTCCAGTCCAATCCAAAAACAATACAGAATTACATCCAGCCCTGTTTGGACACAAGAACTAAGTAAGTCCAATTTCAAAACAGGATTAGAACAATACCAATTATCTACAAAGCCAATCCAACCAGTTCAATAGTAAATCAGAAAAAGGTGGGATTTAGCCTTCATTATTTGGGTAGCTTCATTGGACCTTCGTGCATGTACCTTACTTCACTTAAAAATTGTTACTGGCATTTTATCTGTTTAGCGAGACTAAAGAAAGAAAACAAATTTTGCTAAAGGTCCTAATTGGATCTCATTCTTGAACCCCCTTTAATTGCTCTAGTTGCAACTTTACTTTTCATTATCTACATATTTTGTCTTTGTAATTACCTTAAAAAAAAAAAATCTCCCCAGTAATTTATTTTATTATCACCATAAACCCTTGATTTTGCGCCTAAACACCAACGCCGTGTGCATGAATTTTAACATATTTATCTTCATTGCATTCTAGATCCATGGATGAATGGTATTCGGTGTCTTCCAATCATGGGAGATTCAAGGTGCATTCCTTCTATATGAGGCTGTTGGAGGGGAACTCCTTTCCTTGAGATTTGTGGTCTGTTCCTTCTATGATGACTTGGTGAATCATCTTCTCTTGCATTGCCCTTTGGCTAGGGATGAATAAGCCATGTTTTTTGCTATTTTTGGTGTTCATTGGTTCATGTCGGATTCCATGAAGAGCATGCTTAGAGGCTTGGAAAGGATGTATAGTGGGGATTCAAGCTTTAGCTGCTTGGAGGGGCAGCCCCCCCTTTGCTTGTGGCAGGACAGAAATAGGTGTCCTTTGATGGAGGAGAGTTTCGTATTTGGGTGCTAAGATTCTTAATTCTTAGTTCTTTATTCTTTTTTTTTTTTTTTTTTTTTTTTTTTTTTGATAAATGTCTTAGTTCTTTATTCTTTTGGGTTCATGAGTTGAATAGGAGAATTTTTTTTGATAAGGAAGTGTTATAAAAGGTCCTCTAAAAGGGGAGCGTATCCAAAAAAAAAACTACAAAGGACCAAAAGGGCACCTGACCACTCAACATATAAAAGATTAAACTTGCAACAATGAGTAGTGCACATTCCATCTATTCTCCTTGGGAAACATGCTGACATATTTCGCACATTTCTCAATGGGAAATATTCGTTATTGATAAAGCAATGTCTCAATCAGGTTTTCTTAGAATGAAACTTTAATATAAACCTTTCCTAAAACCATATAGGGTGGCATAGGAAAATGGAAATTCCTTGACAGTCTTAGAGAGATGTTTGGTTCCTATCCAGATAGATGCCTATTCAGATAAAGTATGGTGAGACTTCCTACCGACGAATGAAGCCTATGTGCAAGTTGGTCACTCTTGGATTTATGAGGTCGGTGCTATTTAAATATAATGGTAGTTTCATGTTAAGACTTACAAAGTCATGAGAAAAGGACTCTAAAGCACCACACAAGTCTTTTCAGTCTCGCGATGACAAACATGTGTTGGCAAAAGAAGAAAAATAAGTAAAAGTAACTAAGAAAATTCCTCATGTTCCATCTAGTAAGGTGTCGGAATCTCCCCTACCTGAAGTCACTAACCATGGAGCTCCGACACTTCTATGCCCATGGGTGTAGGATTCTTTAAAGTGTGGGCTGACTCGGAGACATGGGACCTTGACTTATCAACGAATGAAGGGAAGCTTGAAGATCTTTCTTCACAACTGGCTTAGTCGGCCTTATAAAGCTTGCTAAGATTCGCTTCCCTCCCCCCTTCCCTTATTAAGTGGAAAGTCTTTATTTAATAGTTGGTGTTATATAAACAACTGAGGATGTAGCACTAGATGATCCTCCAGTTAAGTTGCCACCCATGAAGTATGTTGAACACACCATCGACTTAAATCTAGAGTCATAGTCATATAGTTTCTCACTTCATTGCTTGGCTCCAAAGAAATATGTTTCAGATACATGACAAAATTACAAATAAATAGAATCTGATCCTCTTTCAATTCTTTGTATTTTTTTTCCATAGTTTATTTCTTTATTCACTCCTACATGACTTTCTAGAACACATCTAATGTTGTGTTCGGTAGGAAGGAAGGAAGAGGTGTGGAGAGAAAATAGGAAGGAAGGAACGAACTTCCTTTGTTTGATAGAGATGATACAAGGAAAGAAAGGAGAATAGGAAAGATGACCCATCCTTCCTCCTTTACAAATTTTCATCCGCCCAAAAATGGGTGGAAGAAAGGAGGGAAGAGAAGTGGACTATTGTAGAAGTTTTAAATTAAAAACTATCCTAAATTATACAAATTTTAAATTACAGTACTATCCTCTATGAATTACAATATTATAAATATTATTGGATATAATGGTAAAACAATTAAAACTTTCTTTTTCCTCCTCTCTTAACGAACATAGTAAATTATGAGCTTATTCTTTTCTCTTCTATCCAACCGAACAAAAGAAGGAAGTACACAATCTCTTCCTTGTGGATGCCTTATCCATCCCTTCTTCTCTTCCTTCCATCCAATTTTTTTCTTTCTTACCGAACAGAGCCTAAGTGACGTGTGCGGCACAAAGTTCATGATGCAGAACTCGTTTGGTTTATCCCATTTGAGAATCCCATTGAATCCCTAATTGTATTTATTTGATAAGTAAGTATTCATTTGAGAGCATCCAAAAGGGGGTCGTGGCTCGGACCTAATTGTATTGTCTTTATTTTATTTTTGTTAGCCCGTTCATGATACAAATGAGACTTCATTTACTAAGATCTAGATTCTAGAACAAAAGGTACAATCCTTGAACATCTAGAATTGCATAAGTGAAGATTAGTTATGCATTATTCAATGAGCAACTTGAACAACAAAGGAATGGGTCTTCAGAGTAAGAATTAATGGACATCATAGCTTAACTACTTCCACTGTGTCAGATAGGATATCAAGTACAAAAGCAATTTTTGGAAGACACTTTGGACACTATGAAGGACAATTTAATTTAATTTTTTTTTCATTTTGACTTATAGGGAAATTGAGGTTGTTAAGAAAGTTGTAGGAAAGTTGGTTAGTTGTCTTGTAAGAGTGCACCTGGACACTTGGGACTTGTTACCTATCGTGGAGTTTGTGATGTTATGGCCCGAAGTTGGTGCTGGGTTGCGTTGTGACCTGACGACCCATTGGATGAGCTTTGTGTGAGCCCAAGCCCATTTTTTGCTTGTGGGCTGTGGACCCTAGTGAGTACTCTCTTGTAGCCGGATATATAAGGGTGTTTAGGGTTTAGAGTGGGTAGAGAGAGAGACTGAAAATCGTACAGAAACAGAGTGAGTGGCTGAAACTTGTAATCTCCGATTTTACACATAGTGAAGATTTTCGTCGGATCTCCACCAGGACGTAGGCTTTGCCGAACCATGTATAAACCTTTGTGTTCTTTGTGTTGTTTTGTTTACTTTTTTGTTGTGTTTCGTGATTGTTGCTTGGGTTAGCTGCGTTTGTCATAACAGAGTTTATATATGATAGCTTGGTCAATTGGTGTACTAAAAATTGATTATTTTTTGTGATTTTATCTGAATTTTCTATCGCTAGCCCATTGACCATATTCCGTTGCCTCTATATTTCTGTCCATTTAAATTTTCTGATTCTTTTCTTCAGATTTTTCATGATTTTCATGCCAATATGCAACTTTGCTTTGAGTAATAGAAATTGTGAACTAATTGTATATGCTCATAATAGGAATCGTACATTGAAGGAGATTATGTTCTGATTTGTGTACACCCACAACTCCTTCTAGGCTTTGCATGCTCTAGTCATTGGACCTTTTCTCCTCATTCGTATATCCGGATCAACTGCATATTTATTTAACTTGCCATCAGATATTTGTAATAATCCAATGTTCCGTGTGGAATATTTGTCACCTAATGGAGGCACTTTTGAGCCTCCTATTTTGTTAAGTTGTATTCTTATAGGTGGAGTTACATCTTCTTTAGCAACAATGGTAGTTATTCCACTTTTCAGCCACAATATATGGATAGCGTCGAGGATACTTTTGAGCAGTAGGTTGTGTTTTTCATCCTAATCTTTTGATGCAGTATTATCAGCATCACTCTTAGGAGGACAGTTCTTAGTCGGGGAAAATTGACGGAGAACGAGATGTGACTTCAAAGTATGAGCTGCATGTGATTTGCCTCTACTCTTGGAGAAGCGGCAGAGAAGGATAACTTTAGGAATTTTGATAAATTTTGTTTGAAATATTTATTTATTATTTTTATTTTGGACTAACTAAATTTAGGTTTTTTTTTTTTTTGAAGGGTTTATTTGATAGTAGCATTTGATTAGGGTTTACCGCAGTGGCAAGAACCTCGTGCACTGGCTGCCCTTTTTTGTTTGATTAGGTTTCAGCGCGTGTATTATAGGGATTGGTATATTGAATTGGACACCTTTGGTGATTATTGAATATTGAGATTGACTACAAACATTTCTTCTCCCTTTACTTCCTGCATCAATTAGGAGATTCTGCTAATGTTTCTTTTGAAAGGGTTCTGTTAGCGTTTAACTGGTATGGTAATGCCAACTTCTTTACCACTCTACTTGATTAGTTTGTTGCGACGTTGTTAAACTGTCCAAGCAACAGCTGAAATGGAGTTGCCGCAGACAAGGTTCTTTGTAGGTTATGAATATTTTTCCTAGTTGGACTCACACACACATGTCTCTTTTGAGACTTGAACACCCTGACCTCCCTTTGGGAGGTAAGAGACCGATACCGCTAGGTCACTGACCCGTTGGTTTGTAGGTTATGAATAGGTGTTGTATTAACCATAAAAATTCACCTTCTTGTTGGAAACACATAATAGAAATTACAACGTACTTATAAAAAAAAAAAATAGAAATTACAATAATTGATTGGTTAGTGAGAACTTTCTTATTTAACATTGAAGTCTAAATGTCCAAATCGGAGCATGCAAAACTCTGCACTTGAAGAGAGAGTACATGAAATAATTAACATTGCTGCTTGCTTGCCTGTACTTGTAATGTTAGGCAGCAGATTGACTTTGTTTGGTGAATGGACACCTACATGAAGTTCCTAAAAAATTTTAAAATTCTTTTACCATTGCATCTTTTATTTCTTTTGGTATAATTAAGGTGACATTATGCAAACTTGATCTTAAGAAAATTTACTGTTATCTATTAGCTTTAGATCTTTTGTAGCTTTATCTGGACTTTTGCATGTTTCCCTTTTTCTTTCGTTTTTGAATCCTAGATGTTCTTTCAGAGATTCAGCTGGGATTGCATCAGAACTTCTTTTTGACTACATCATGGATGTATTTGCTGGCGTGGAGGGGAATTTGAGTATAGTGTTGTTTTTTTTAAGGCTTGTTGACAAGTCATTAAAGATTTGGTAGTTCATAAAGGGGGGATTCAAAATGGACTTTGGCCTGGTTTAGTTTTTACACTCTTTAAAACAGCTCAAAAGCACTTGCCTGAAATGTTGAGCTGAAAGATCACATGGATAATGTTGTAGTCGTGGTTATCATCCGCTGGACAGCCTTTGCTAACTTGCGAGATTAATGGAGTTTTGGCTTACAAAATATCTTTGCGGAGTACAGAACCCAATGCTTGTCAGCTTGAGCCAAAGGTTTGTCTTATATAAGTTATGTTGCAAGAGCTTTAGTTTGTTTTTCCTTTTTGATGATCCAAGCAACAATCCAAATACATAGATTTCTTCAAGGACACATAAAGCAAGTTGGTAGCTGGTTTTTAGATATGTTGCAGTTGGACTATTTATCACCAATTGAGACTAAACACATACTTTCTAGCCTAGTCACTGTGGTACCACATTTTTTATTTTTTTAAGTAAGATTTCATTAAAGGCACTCAAAAGGGGAGTGCTCCAAAGGAGACAAAAGCCATCCAGGACAACCCTTTAACTTTAAGCTTTCAACAAAATCCAAGAGACAATCCATAGAATTACAATCCCGCCCATTGACCCAAAAGAATAAAGAAGTAAGAATATTGTATTTAAGAGCCCAAATAGGAGACTCCTCTCCCTCAAAGGATCTCCTATTCCTCTCGCGCCACAAACCACACCAAATACAAAGGGGAGTAGCCCTCCAAGCATCTCTGACTCGGCTCTCTACTGTACACCATTTCCAAGTCTCTAACAAGTCCACCGTGGATTTTGGAAAAATCCATGGAAGTCCAAACCCTACCAAAAACATAGACCAAACATCCCTCACCACCGAGCAATGAATAAGATGATGGTTGACAGATTCACCCGACTTCTTACACATGTAGCCCCCGTTAACCACAATCTGACGTCTCCTTCTAAGGTTGTCAAGAGTAAGGATGCTTCCCAAGGCAGCAGTCCACTGTGGTACCACTAGATTGCACTCTTTGGACCTCAGATGTTGCACAAATGTTTCCTTGCACCTTAGTTTTCTTTTCAGAAAGAAGTAGTATAGAATATAGATTATATTGGGCACATAATTTAGGAAGCACTTCCGCTAACTCCTTTCCTTCTCTTTGGATTTGACGCAAAGGAATAAAAATATGGGACAGTTGTTTTCTGTTTTGGCAACAGTGGCATTTATAGAAATCATTATTATGGCATGAGCAAGTAGTGTGCTTAATGTGATTATGGAAGTTGTTATGCCCCTCTTCATTTGGGTGAATATATTTGAGCCCACCTACCACTAAAATAAGCAAGCATAAAAAACTTCTGTTCTATGGTTTGTTTCACCTCAAATTCTAAAAATATGGCTCTCTTTATTTGATAGGAACTTTATTACTTTGCCTCTGTCCTGAACTGATTTTATCATTTATTAGATCAAGGATAAACAATGTCTGTTGTCCAAGAGAGGACTTAAAAATTAAGGTGTTCTCTTCTTGTATTGTTCTTTTCCTTGTTGTGATGTCCAAATATTGGGTTTTGGTCTTGCTTTTTTTCTTCCAGTAAGAAAGTTTTGTTAGTGATCTAAAATAACAATCAGTTCAATGAAAAATGTCGAAGCATGTTGGCTACAGATATCTAGTTACTGGTATGGCGAGTATTGGAAAAATACTTTGAAACTCAATATAACAAAAAATTAATATCTAACTGATTTTCACTCCTTATTCTTGGATTTCAAGGGCACCAAAATAAATAGCTTTTGAATTACTCACTGATCTGATATGAGGTATTCCATTGAGTATTGTATACTTATTGGAAAAGTATTTGATTGAGTACTCTCTTTTATTTTTTTTATAAGTGATTGATTACGTTACCTAAACTTTTAGTTGTCTTCTAGCTTCTGTTGAAGGTTCCTTGCATGCTTTTATCTTTATAGCTCATATTCTTTTCATTTCTTGTTGAATATTTGATTTTTGTTATAGGGATGGTCAATGCCCTGAATATAGTGGTGAGGAACAGGCTATCTGTGCTGTTGGCCTGGCCAAAGCTAAACCTGGCATTTTCGTTGAAGCCATCCAGTATCTTTTGGTCTTAGCAACTCCTGTTGAGGTAGTAACATTTCCCTGGCTCTTTTGGTTCTCTTTTGTGGCCCTTAGAAGTCACTTATATTCCAGTAATGCCATGTTTGGATTTTATTTGCCTTTTACCCCATTCATCTAGTTTATTTGATTTTATTTTATCATAGGTTTTTGAAACATGCAGTTGTATACTGGATGATGTATTGAAATGCAATTATTCTAAGTTAGTAATTTTTTCCTCCCGCCCAATTTGATCTTCTAAATTCTGGTTTTTGAAATGTACAGTTGTATACTGGATGATGTATTGAATTTCAATTCTTCTTCGTTAGATATTATTATTATTTTTTCTCTACTACCTATTTTGACTTTTCAAATCCTTCTATGATATCTTGATAACTGGATGGTTAAAAAGACTAAATGGATGAAGGAGAACATAATGGACATTGGAATAGCTTGAATGATTAACATAGGCATGGTGCCTTATTGTGTAACAACACAAATGCTAGGAAGCTCTTAACTAGGAATCACGCTGGCCTCGTGAAAATAAAAATGGCAAAATGGATTGAGAGATATGTGCATGCCCAGCATGGTCTGACGCAGCATGACATTGTGGCAAGTGTGCCTGTCGTCTTTTTCTACCTCACCCCGCCCTTGCATAGTTCTCTCACTAGGAGGCTCTTTACTAGGCCCAAATACACACTTCAACATAAATATTTTTGAATTCTTATATTGAGGTGGGGCAAGGCTTTTGATGTAGGGGTGAAACTTGAGCGGGTTGGCGGCTCAACTCGGGCTCAACCTGGTGTATGAAATCTTCAATCCTAACCTAACCCAACCTGGCCTTCAGTCCGAACTAATTAACCCCTGCTCAGTCTGTTCTAAAATATTTGAACTTGGGTTCGTGAAATGGGGTTGGTAAACCAAAAAAGCCAACCAAATACACACTTCAATTTCTTATTTCTCTGCTTGTTTGAAGTCCATGAAGCTTATACAAGTTGTAAAAATTGAACTGATAAAAGTTCAGTGGGAGAGAAGTTGATCCTATCATGAGTCAAGCCACACCAAGCTTTGTTTATTCAAATGGGGCTGAGTTGAGTCCTCGATCTTTTTGATGATTTTAGTCTGAATGAGGTTGAAGTCTTGAGCACATTAACACAATGTGTTTTGACAAAGCCTAAAGTTAAAACGTGTCTTCGCTTGAGTTGTTCGCAGCCCTAAAATTAATTTTTCTATGATGTTTTATTTGGAAATTATGTTGTTGATATTTGATTATGTATACATATCTGGCATGCATAATTTTTCCATTACATAATTCAAGTTCCTTTTTATATTTTCCGTTTATGATTTGCACATTTTTTGAGCTTTAGAAATTGATCCAGCCTTTAATATCTTTCTCTATGATATATATATATTTTTGGCTGCAGAAAGTGACAGTTATAACTCAGGCAAATTTGTGCCAGTGGCTTTCTTCTATCTGATTTTGCTTTGTTTTTTTGTTTCGAAGCTATATGTTTGAGCTCTCTATTTTGTCATAATTCAAGCTGTTTATATTGTGCTTCCAGATTGTTTTCTCTTTTGAGCAAACCAAAAATGAGGCTCTAAAGTAAGAGTACTGATAATTGTTTAAACTTCTTCCAATTTGTTGAGTAGCTAAAACATGTTTCTTTGTTGAAAATGCGTTTAAGTGTGTGTGTACAATTGTTTTTCATTCTTTAATATAATTTCATTTATGTATAATTTTTGTCTCTTCTCCCTTCTGGGAGGGATCCTCAATGGCTTTTTTCCCTTTGAGGATTTAGTCTTATTGCTATAAAATTTTTCTAAATTTTATGCTACCTGTTTTAGTTATTTACGTTTACCTTCTATTTTGGTCAGTTGATTCTTGTAGGAGTATGCTGTTCTGGAAGGGGTGATGGAACAGATCCGTATGAAGAGGTTTTACTACAGCCTTTGCCTGAGTATACAATACCATCTGATGGAGTCACTATGACATGTATCACTTGTACTGATAGAGGTCATATTTTCATGGCTGGACGTGATGGCCACATTTACGAAATGCATTATACAACCGGTTCTGGTTGGCAGAAGCGTTGTCGTAAAGTTTGTCTAACTGCTGGTTTGGGAAGCGTCATTTCTAGGTATCTTGTGTCTCTTTCTATTATAGTCATGTTATATAAACATCTGTAAACTTCTTTGCCATCTATTTCACTTTTTGAGGTTTGATCAACCCTAAGTTCAACTGTAAGACGTTCAAAGGGTTGAAGTAATGCTTCATTTTAGAATTCCATGAGCATCCTGTCTAATATTACTTCTGTTTTATTTAACCTTTAGCTGAAATCTGAACTCTTGCTTATGTTTAGTTCTTATGTACTTAAGGATTTTCTTCCCCTCTCCCTTTTTTTTTTGTTCTTTTTTAATTCAGGTGGGTTGTACCTAATGTATTCAAGTTTGGTTCTGTTGACCCTATTGTTGAAATGGTTGTTGATAACGAGAGACACATTTTGTACGCACGCACTGAAGAGATGAAAATTCAAGTTTTTGTTTTGGGGTTGAATGGGGATGGTCCACTGAAGAAAGTGGCAGAGGAGAGAAATTTGATCAATCAGAGGGATGCAAATTATGGAGGTAGACAATCTGCTGGATCAAGAGCTCCTCGATCAGCAAAAACATCTATAGTCTGCATTACACCATTATCGACACTGGAATCAAAGTGGCTGCATCTTGTTGCTGTTCTATCAGATGGCAGAAGAATGTACCTTTCCACTGCATCTAGTGGGAATAGTAGTGCTGTTGGAGGTTTAGGTGGATTTAACACTAATCATCAGAAGCCAAGCTGCTTAAAAGTCGTAACAACCAGGCCATCTCCTCCTTTGGGAGTGGGTGGTGGGCTAGCCTTTGGAGCCGTATCTTTTGCTGGTAGATCTCAGAATGAAGATATGTCACTCAAGATTGAGTCAGCATACTATTCTGCTGGAACTCTTGTCCTTTCTGATTCATCTCCATCAAACATGTCTTCTCTTCTGATTGTTAACAGGGAATCAAGCACACAATCTTCATCTGGTAATTTAGGAACAGGTGCGAGGAGTTCACGGGCATTACGGGAGTCTGTATCTTCCCTGCCCATTGATGGCCGAATGCTTTTTGTGGCAGATGTTTTTCCCCTACCAGATACAGCAGCTACTGTGCAGTCACTATATTCACAACTGGAATTCTTTGGATTTGATAATTCATGGGAGTCTTGTGAAAAGGCATCAGGAAAACTTTGGGCTAGAGGTGATCTTTCAACCCAACATATTTTACCAAGGAGGAGAATTGTCATATTTAGTACCATGGGAATGATGGAAGTAGTTTTCAACAGGCCAGTGGACATCCTGAGGAGGTTGTTAGAGTCTAACACACCAAGATCAATGTTGGAAGACTTTTTCAATCGTTTTGGAGCCGGAGAGGCTGCTGCAATGTGTCTAATGCTTGCTGCAAGGATAGTTCATACAGAAAACCTCATCAGCAACGTTGTTGCTGAGAAGGCAGCGGAGGCTTTTGAGGACCCAAGAGTTGTTGGAATTCCACAACTTGAAGGTAGTGGTGCTATGTCAAATACTAGAACTGCAGCAGGGGGGTTTAGCATGGGACAGGTTGTTCAAGAGGCTGAGCCTGTGTTTTCAGGGGCCCATGAAGGGCTCTGCTTGTGCTCATCAAGATTGCTTTTGCCTTTGTGGGAGCTTCCTGTTATGATCACAAAAGGTGGCTTAGGTTCTTCCGACGGTATGCCTGAAAATGGGATAGTTGTTTGTAGACTTTCTACTGAGGCAATGCAAGTCCTTGAAGATAAAATTCGTTTGCTCGAGAAATTTCTAAGATCTAGAAGGAATCAGAGACGGGGACTTTATGGTTATGTTGCTGGTCTAGGAGACTTGACTGGTTCAATTCTATATGGAACTGGTTCAGATCTGGGTGCTGGTGACCGAAGTATGGTGCGGAACTTATTTGGTTCTTACTCTCGGGATGCCGAGTCTAGTGAAGGTGGTACATCTAATAAAAGGCAGCGGCTTCCATATAGTCGTGCAGAATTAGCTGCTATGGAGGTTAGTTGGAATCCAGGGCTTTGCGTGCTCGTTGTTGTTGTTGTTTTTTTTTTTTCCTCCCTATTACGTCATATAATTTTAAAACTTTTGAACTGTATGCTGCAGGTCAGGGCTATGGAATGCATCAGGCAATTACTCCTTAGATGTGGTGAAGCTCTGTTTTTGCTCCAACTTCTTTCACAGCACCATGTAACACGCTTGGTTCAGGGTTTTGATGCTACCTTGAGGCAGGCATTACTTCAGTTAACATTTCATCAGCTAGTATGTTCTGAGGAGGGTGATCGACTTGCTACAAGGCTTATATCTGCTCTTATGGAGGTATTTCATAGTCAGCTATGAACAGACCCCCAAAATGAATCTCAGTGGAAACAGCTATTATTTTTATTTTTATTTTTTTCCTTTCAAAAAGATAATGTCTTCAAGCTTATTTAAGTTCTATCTGGCATTGTCACACTCTATGCTGAACCTCTCTCTTACATAGATTTCGCCCATTTCTCCAGTATTACACTGGTCCTGATGGCAGGGGAACAGTAGATGATATTAGTGCGAGACTACGGGAAGGTTGTCCGAGCTATTTCAAGGAGTCAGATTACAAGTTTTACTTAGCTGTGGAATGTCTTGAGAGAGCTGCTGTAACTGCTGATACTGTCGAGAGGGAAAGTCTTGCTAGAGAAGCCTTCAACTACCTAAGTTCAGTTCCGGAGTCTGCAGATCTGCAAACTGTTTGTAAACGCTTTGAGGACTTGAGGTTTGTTGATTTATTATGCAAGAAGACTGAAGCTGCTGTTTTTTTTTTTTTTTTTAAATTTAATTTAATTTTAATAAGTATAGTATTTTAATTGCAATGTTATATTTCAAACCTTACATGAGAGGGACATTGCAGATTTTATGAAGCTGTGGTTCGCTTGCCTCTGCAAAAGGCACAGGCTCTTGATCCCGCTGGTGATGCTTTCAATGATCAAATAGAGGCGGGAATTCGGGAACATGCACTGGCCCAGCGTGAGCAATGCTATGAGATTATCACCCATGCTTTGCGTTCCCTGAAAGGTGAAGCTTCTCGAAGGGAATTTGGGTCTCCCATCAGACCAGTGACACAATCCGTACTTGATCCGGCCTCCAGGCGAAGATATGTATGTCAGATTGTTCAACTTGGTGTCCAATCACCTGACAGATTATTTCACGAGTATTTGTATCGGACATTGATTGATTTAGGTCTTGAAAACGAGTTATTGGAGTATGGAGGCCCTGATTTGGTGCCTTTTCTGCAAAGTGCTGGCCGTGAACCTGTACAAGAGGTGTTGCCCTTAACTGTTTATATTTAATATGTCTTTTTATTTTGTTAAAAATTATTGGATATGAAGCATTGACATCTGCTTGTGGGAGCACTATCTTTTTAATTATTTCTTCCGCATGTCTCTCTCTTCTTAGGTTCGTGCTGTGTCTTCAGTAGCATCAGCAACTTCTCCACTTGGTCAATCAAGAATACCTATTCCAGCTAATCAAGCAAAATATTTTGAGCTTCTGGCACGATATTATGTCTTGAAGCGTCAGCATGTTCTTGCTGCTCATCTATTGTTAAGACTGGCAGAAAGGCGCTCTACAGATGCTGGGGATGCCCCTACACTAGAACAGAGGTCCTCATAATCACTAGCATAAGAACTGTGCATGACATTTTTTTCTCTAATGATGAAAATATATCAAGTATGCATGTTTAACACTTCTTATGAGGAGTGTCCACGTTGAAAACCATGTCATACATGCATTCATGTTAAAAATATATAACTTGGAGTTGAGCCAACCCAGCTATTCTCGTTATTACTGCCGAGAAGTAGATATTAGGTGATTTAGGTTGCAATTCATGTCTATATTCCTTGTCATTGTTATTTTTAAACAACTCACACTATCCATTATGAAAAAGGAGTGTTTTTGCAGTGAAGACTCGATTATCTCAAGGAGACGTGTAAAAAAGGATTCAGACCGAAATACTTGGGATTCCAACTTAACTGAATTTAATTGAAATGCTATTTGCTCATTTGGTTTGCAATTGAGATAGCAGATAACTAGAATCATTGCATTACTATATCTATATATATATTCCTGAATATTGCAGTGCCATATTTTATTGGAGAAGGCAAAGGGGGTCTGTAAATCTGTATAACCTTGGATTACCTTCTTGTGTGGTTCCCTAGAGAAGCAAATTCAATTGCAATTTCCTCATCATGATGGGGCTTCACTGCTTGGAGGACTTACTTAGGGATGAAATGTCTCTTGGGGTGTTATTTTGTACTCTCCGCATTTAAATAATTGGAGGTTTTTGCCCCTATTTCATCTGCTTCTGGTTATAACCTCATTTGCTATTTATTCCTCTTTACATTCTTCTGGAAGAAATAATTGTAACTTCTATTGTTTCTTCTTTTGCTTCTTAAGATTCCATAAAGTTTTTGTAGTTGGCCTTTACTTATTTTGTCCCTGTAAATCAAGGGTGCTGGTAGGGTGGATTAGTTACAAATTTAATTTAGGTAATATTTGTAGAGAGTTGCCGCTCTCGAACTCAAATTGATGGGAATACACTCGACATCCTGAGCTTCAACCAAGCAATGGCCCCTAGATAACCTTTTCATCTAATAAATAACCATGTGAATTATTCACTTGAGCCAGAGAGAGTGAATTTAATCAAGTTATCAACCTAATACAAATGAATACTTGTTTTTAGATTTTTTTTTTATTTTTTTATTTTTTTATTTTTATGTTTTTTGTCTAGAATGGACACCATATCTGTACGAAGTTGAGCTGAAAAAGTCTTTGGTCAGTTCGAGTCAATTGTATTTGCAATGGGGTTATGACCTAATAGGACTTTGACCATGTTCCTGTCTGATAATTTTATTTCTTTCACTTTTTCTATGTCAGGCGTCAATACCTAAGCAATGCAGTTCTGCAAGCAAAGAATGCAGGCAACAGTGATGGTGTAGTAGGTTCAGCCCGTGCTTCTGATGATGGACTGATGGATTTGCTTGAAGGAAAGCTTGCTGTTCTTCGGTTTCAAATTAAGATCAAAGAGGAATTGGAGGCTATAGCCTCTAGGTTAGAGGCTTCTGCTAGCACATCTGAATCTGCTCCCGCTGAATCTTTACTTGGCAGGCCCTTTGATGCCAATTTTCTAGAATCTATACAAGAAAAGGCGAAAGAGTTATCACTGGATTTAAAGAGTATCACTCAACTGTATAATGAATATGCAGTTCCCTTTGAGCTCTGGGAGGTACATTTTTTGGCCCCCTCACTTTTCTTCCCCCTCCATCTCCCTTCCTTGTTATACCCGTTTATTTGGGGTAAATATATAATGAATGATATATGTCTCACTTGCAATATGTTCACATAGTAGAAGAAGGCTTTCTTGCATTGTTGTGTTTGTTTGAATTATTATTATTACATTTTCCAAATGATTCTATAATAAACGTAATCATAGAGGGAAAGGGAGGATGTGATATCCCTTTACTGATTAAATCAAAGAGCAGCTTCCATAAGTTAGGCATTTATATTATTCTCTGTTATTGCGGTAGTTGTTTTATTTTTATTTATTTAAATTTTTTTTTTAATTTTTTTTATTTATTATTATTTTTTTTATCACATATTTGGTTTTTCTATCTTAAGTTTTATAATCTCTCCGTCTCTTTCTTGCTCCACCAAAATAGGACAGAAATTTCTTTTTGCATTCATGACCTTTGAAGATTTTTTCATATTTATGTTAGTCACATGCGGAGGGAGGGAGTACTGGTTTTTCTTGGTTATAAAATCTGTTTACTGGCTGTCATTCCCTTATCATATAGCGCAGTACTTGTGAAGTTTTCACTTATTTAGTTGTTTACTCCTTCGAATTTTGCGTATTTTTTACCCTAGACATGGGCATTACACAATCTATATGTTCTCTCCCTCTCTATCTTTCTATCTTTACATATATATATATATTTCTATTTATCTATGTATATATATGTTTGTATAAGTATTTGATACTGAATTATTAATTTTTTAATAAAATTTAGTTTTAATGGGATTCCTTGATTTTCCCCTTCTGTGTTCAGATATGTCTGGAGATGCTGTACTTTGCAAACTATTCCGGTGATGCTGATAGTAGCATTGTACGAGAGACCTGGGCTAGACTCATTGATCAAGCTCTTTCGAAGGGTGGCATTGCTGAAGCATGTTCAGTACTGAAGAGGGTTGGTTCCCACATTTATCCTGGAGATGGCGCGGTTTTACCTTTAGATACACTGTGTCTTCACCTGGAGAAGGCTGCTTTGGTACATCCTTCTTCCTTGTATTCTCCTTTTACTTAGTTTCTTTTCTCGAGCAGTTTAAGCTGTTTATTTTTAATATTTATTATCTAATGCTTCATTTGGTTGGAGGGATGGAAAAATGGATGGAAGGGAGAGGGGAAGGGATGGATGAGGCATCTCTAGGGAAGGGAAAGTGTCTCATTTGTTTGGTTGGATGGAATGGATAGTAGAAAGGATGGATGCGGTGACACTTTTTTTTTTTTTGTTTGGTTGGAAGGAAGGGAGAGAGAGTTTTATATTGTTTTTACTAATATACCCTAATTATATAAAATTATATATCCATTCCAAATTATGCAACAAGGTTAAAAATGGAAATTAAAAACTTGTTGGTTTTAATCCTGCTCTCTCCTCTCTTCCCCCCAAATTTGGGCGGATAGAAAATTACAAGGGAAGGAGGGGTGCTTCCTTCCAACCAAACACAAAAAACTTCTTTTATCCCCCCTCTCATCCATCCCTCCTCAATCCTTCCCTCCAACCAAACATGGCATAAAGATAATCTTCATGATGTGATGACAAATATGTTTTACTTCACATATCATTTTACTTGTTTAATTAAATTGATCAGTTTTTTTTTTTTCTTTTGTAGGAACGACTGTCGTCAGGGGTTGAATCTGTTGGTGATGAAGATATCGCACGGGCTCTTCTTGCCACTTGCAAGGGTGCAATAGAACCTATATTGAATACTTATGACCAACTGCTATCAAATGGAGTGATCTTGCCATCACCAATTCTAAGATTACGTCTCCTTCGATCAGTACTGGTGGTACTTCGTGAATGGGCAATGTCCGTGTTTGCGCAGAGAATGGGTACGAGCGCTACTGGAGCATCTCTCATTCTTGGTGGAACATTCTTACCGGAGCAAACAGCCATTAACCAAGGGGTTCGTGATAAGATCACTAGTGCAGCAAACAGGTCAATTTCTTATTCTTTTTCCGTTCCGTTTAGGTTCCATGAAATATCCAATGTTGCAGTCTCTTTTCTGGATTGATTTATACAAGTTACTTTACTGAGGTTATGGCCTTAAATATGGCGGAATGGAAACATAGGATTGATGTAGCCGACCCCTAGTAATTGGGAAAATGCTTGGTGGTTGTTCATGTATTTTTATAGGTTACTTATTCATGAAACTATTAAGCTGGTCATGTGTGTCTTAGACTCTTACCATACCTTGACACGTTATTAATTTGCTGAACTTGAGCAAAAGTTTAAAAAAAGAAAATCTGACATTGGCATTTGTATGATTCCAGTGTGCTGCATAGATGTACAATTCCAATTGGCCCTCCACGCGGGCCTTCAACAAGCCCATTTTCTCTTAGGACAATCAGTTTTTGTGATTTCCTTGTTTTTTTTTAGCTGGCACAATCATTTTAAACCCTATGGACATGTTTACAAACTCGTTGATATGAATTAGTACTTTATTTCTGCAGCGCCAAGAAAATAATGACTTACTAAGTTCTGAATGGGACTAACCCCAAGATGGTAGAATCGCTGGTCGAGTCCCCAGCCTGACAAGGTCGAGGTCTTGGATTTGATTTTCCTTCCTTTAGACCAGACTCACTGGTTCTCCTTTGATAAAAATTGGCTCATGGCATTGGGCCTGCCATGAACCAATTTTGGAACCGAACTGCTGTATTTGTTGGTGTCATTGTGCTTTCAATCCCACATTTAATTTTTAAGGGCCTTTTTACCCTTTTCACAAAATTTGAAAAATTCCTACTTGAATTATGTTTGTTTCCTCATGTTTCTAATCAGAAGCTATGTTACATGGACTCTTCAATAATAGTGAAGTACCCATGTCGGACACATATTGCTCGGACATGGGTATGGGATATGTGTCCGACACTTTTGATTGGACATTTACTTAAAAAACATATCCAATAAACATTATATTATATTATTACTTTAAAATGTGTTAAATGCCTATATTGAACATTATATTAGATAAAAAAATTACTTTAATCTTGAAAATAAAATCAATAATTAGCCATGTCCGTATGTCCTTCTGTATGGAGATTTGACTCATCCGACACATGGATACATACCCGTATCCGACACACGTACCCGAGTTCATGTAGCACAGATCAGAAGAGAGTTGATTGATATAGAAATTTGAATATTTGAAGACTCTGGTTTGGGGCACAAGTTTTCACACCCAGTTGGAGAATTTTATTTTATTTTTTACTCTTTTATTTATTTTATTTTTGGATATATCTTGAGAACTTTTGCTAAATTGGCAGTAATAACAAGTATTTTCACTTTGTGGTGAATTAGTTGAATTCTGATGTTTGAAGAATGGATTAATTTATGAAGCTTTTTTTAGCATCTTGGGATGTACTAAATCGCATGTTACTTGTAGATATTTCTTCTTTTTATTTTCCCCCACTTTTGCTAGGTAAACACTATATGTGTAGGATGCCTAGACAGTGATGACATGGTGAAAAGAAAGAAAGTCTAAATAAGGTCATTACTCAATGCTGAGCCTATCGTTACCCTGGGAGAAAGAAAAAACTTGAGACAGACCTAACCTTTTCATTGGTTTTGGAGAAGTTGCTGCTCTTAAATTTAAATCTACATTCTCATGTTCTCAACCCCAAGCCTGTTCTGTTGCATCAAGTAATGGTCCCTTTAAATGAAAGAGTCTATCGATAATATTTTTGGGCTATGACACATGGACTCTTCAAAGGTAGTGAAGGACCCTTGTCAGACACATATTGCTCCAACATGGGTATGGGATATGTATCCGACACTTTTGGAAGGACATGTACCTATAGTTGAATGTATTATCACTTTAAACCTATATTGAACACTATATTAAATTAAAAAAACATTACTTTACTGTAGAAAATAAAATAAACTAACTAAATAAAATGAATATTTAGCAATGTCCACGTGTCTTTTGGTCTAGAGATTTGACACATGCGACGCATGGATACATACCTGTACCCGACAAGCACCCGAGTCCATGTAACATAGCTTTTGGTGACTAATCTCGTATTGATAGAATGCCCTTTCGTAATAATGGCACTTTTTTCCTGATCATATGCTTACCATGTGTTTTGGGGGTAATGAATGGGAGAGAAGTTGAGTCAAGTACTATAGCATTAGAGGGATTCATCATTCTTTTATCTTTCTATTTTCTGCAATTTTCTCAAAAGATATATATATATATGTGTGTGTGTGTGTATAAATTATTGTAGATTCCTTGTATTCATATTTTTGGGGAAACTATAAGTTGTTTCCCAACTTGTAATATATCCATTTCCAAATTTGTAGCTTGTTGGTGTTATATAAATATATTCATTTTTTCTAGTGAATGGACTCCAATTACAAGTTCTGATTCTTCTTTTTTCTTTTTGCATGAATTTTGATTGGCAGGTATATGACTGAGGTGCGTAGGTTGGCCCTTCCACAGAACCAAACGGAGCCCGTCTGCCGAGGTTTTCGGGAACTTGAAGAGTCACTGCTGAGTCCTTTTTCTTTTGAGCGATTTTGATTGTCCCAGTTGTGTCTGTTGTGTATGAGAGATGCTGTGGTTTTATTCCATGTTGTTACGCAATAAAAATGTTATGCTTAATGTCATCAAATATATCCACTCCACTTTGTAAGGGTCTACTACCAAAATATGAGTTGTTTATATCCATCTTGAACAAAATTTTCCAATTATTTGAAAAAAATTCAGATTACTTGAACAAGTGATAACTAAAGAATTGTAGAGGATGCAGAGTTACGATGGGTTCACAGTTTTAAAACGTGTTCTGTCCTAAAAGGGTGTTGAACTTATATATACAACACTTTTATTTTCCAGACCCAAATGATGTGAGATTGTGCACCTCCTTTTTCACACCCAAACAATGTGAGATTGTGTACATGTAGCTCACCTAGTGGTAGTCTACCGGAGTGTGGGGTCCTAATAGGTTCATGCTTTTAAAACTCTTTCTGTCATAGAAGGGCGTTGAATTTATATATACAACACTTGCATTTTTCACACCCAAACGATGAGAGATTGTGTACTTGTAGCTCACCTTGTGGTAGTCCACCGGAGTGCGGGGTTCTGATGAATTTATTGATAAGGAACATATATATCTTGCATTCTTGCAGGTGTTTGTTTAATTATGGTTTTAATTATTTTTAGTCGCCCGTGCTTTGCAATCCTGGCTCCACCCCTGGATTGATGTGTTTCAAATAAGTGGCAATGTTAAATTCAGATTAGTGCACAATATACAGCCAATGTTGTAAATTTATTTTTCAGAAAACAGTTCATACAACGTATTTTTCAGATTATTGTAAATTGTGTATGTGTTTTGCAACAGTCTATGTCATTTGAATTGTAATTTTCAGATTATTGGCTTGTGTATGCAGGCCAGTGTACAATTAAAACCCGACTTTGGGCCAAATACACAATGACATATCCTGAATTGAATTAAACTTGAACTTGTCAAATACATGATTTTATAAAAGTTCTATTGAGACAAGTACAACACTGTTGTTCGGTTAAAAATACATTAATGAATATAGCAAAACACATATTACCAGGGCAAGAGAGACCAAGGCATCAAAATGTTAGGTTTTTTACACAATAATAATACTAATAAAAGTTACTCTAATAAAATAAAATCTCTACATAAGAATTATATATATATATATATATATATATATATATATATATATATATATATTAATGGAGATAGTTTTGTAAGTGAAATACAGGATACTTTAACATATTGAACAAATGGTTAGAGACTTCTTAACATTTGCATCGCAAGTACTTGCAATTTAAATCCAAGTGTTAATGAATTTTATTTTTATTCTAAGTGTTAATGGATAAAAAAATATGTTTGTGTACAAAATTTCTCAAACCATATAAAATTAGACTATTACATATATAACTAATAATTATATTAATATTATGGGTTAAGTGCAAAAAATCCTCCTGATATATAGACTTTGTGTAGAACAAGTCCCCACTTTTTAAAAAAGTACATGCAAGTCCACAAAATTTAAAAAAAGTGCATAACTGGTCCTGACAACTTTTTACAAAAAGTAAACTTAAAACCCCATTTTACCATTTTGTTTCTCATTTTACCCCCTCACCATTTGTGCACAAAAGTCCCTCAACATTTGTGCATAAAAGACCCCCCTCCCCTCTCTCTCTCTCTCTCTCTCTCTCTCTCTGCACACAGACACAGATTGTTTCACCCAAGTCGGATGGCGATTCCAAGTCCGGTGAAGTTCAGTTTAGTCAGGCAAAGCTCGCAACGGAGGACAGCGGCAATGATAAGAACCCGTGTCATCCATGGCTGCACATCGTCGATTTAAAAACCGGCAAAATGTCTCCACACGAAATTTTCAACCCAAGCTAACATTTCTTTAAATTCAGTAAAAATCAAAATCTATAAGCTCGAACTAATGATGAATTTGAACTGCAACTTGTTTCCATTGAAGTCTCTGATTGTAGCACAATCACCATCACCGCCGATGCTTGCGACTTAAGCACAGTCACCGTAACCAACACAGTTGCTTGAAAGCTTGTCGGAGTATGTGTGTTTTCCCGTTGGTTCAGCGATGTTGCCGAAGTGGGTTGAGTTCTTTTGGGACGTTGCCGAACTGAAATTGGGTTGCTCTTAATTCAGTCGTCGCCAACGTCATAGCTCACTCGCCAGAATCAGTTTTGAGCTTTGCGGTTTGTCATCCAAGTGGGTCTCGAGAGCTTATTCCTTATTGCCGTCTAGGGACATGAAGCATACCGGTGTACAGCTCATAGGAGCAGTGACTGAAACACGCCGTGTGCATGCAGGTCATGGGACCAGAAGTACACCGAAGCTCAGTGATTTGTCATCTTCATCAGAGCATGTGAGTCGTGGAGCTCGTCGTTGGTTATGGAGTTCACCGGCGTTCAGTTGCTGCTTTGAAGCTCACTAAATACACATGCATGGAAGTGTAGCTCGCTGGATGATCACCGAAGTGGGTCTCATTTGCTTGAACTGTTTGTTGTAGTTTGGAGTTGTCAGTTTGTTTTTGCCGGCTTTAATGGTGGTTTCGCCGTCGATGGAGCATCTAAATGATGGCGACAGTGGTCTGTATATATATATATATATATATATATATATCAAGCTTGGCCACGATTTTATTCTTGCATGGGCGTGTAGAGGTTTTAGAGATGACCGGTATCTTTCGCCGTCGATCTTGTTGCTGATACGTTCACCGCCATCGGTCCGATCTTGTTGCTGCCGATACAACCTCCTCACAAGATTCAGATTTTGGGTTGAAGACTTAGATACCTCTTTCGACTCCATCAATTTTCATTATGCTCTCCCAAACAGAACCTGCAACTACACGGTTTTTTTTTTTTTTTTTTTTTCAATTGGATCTTGGGTCTGCTAATGGTGTTGTTTACAAAGGGTGATTGTGGATGCCGATATGGGTTTTGAACTTTTGATTCTTTCAGCAGATAGATAAACTAAAATATATGGGTTTTGAACTTCTGATTCTTGTAGTTTGCAGTTGCAGACAGAGCGGGGGGGGGGGGGAGGGAGGGGTGGTGGCAAGTTCAGAGTTGAGAACGAGAACAGCCATGGAGGAGGAGGCTGAAATGATTTGCCCTAAAACCCATAGATTTGCTCTTCTTGTGTGTAGAATCTCTAGATGCAGTGAAGCAAGAAGATATGCCAGAAAACAAATAACATGCATTAAAGCATCATACATTTTAGTATCTTGCTCTCACGGAAAATTGCACATATAATATACTACATATAGAAATTCCTTTAGAATGACAATAGGAAAAAATGAAACAGGTTGTGGAATATCAAATGACAAATAAGATGACTAGTGTAAAATCTTACTCAATTATTCACTGGACCATGTGAAAGAATGTATGTACGTGTTTTTTGTAGCAGAAATCTGCTCCAGATTAGAGGATTGCATGCCTCACTTTCATCTCCAGATATAAATTGATGATGATGACAGAATAAATTTATGATATATAATCCTAGCACCACAACCAACATTATTAACCCCAAGCAGTGACCAGAATAAATTGTTATTGAGTGAATGAAGAATAATATATATTGGAGCATGAAACTTATCTCCAGATACAAATTGATGATGATGACATTTTTTCCAATGACTACTCTCTTGATATTCGTGTTAATGTTGGTTTTTCTACGAATGTTGTTGTCTCTCAGCTGTTGTATTGATGATATATTGGATAACTGATCATATTAAGACGGTGACTTACTATTAATGAGATGTGTTTGCAGTTAAGTAGGTGACTTTTCGGAAAAGGTGTTGGTAGTTAAGAGGGTTAAAACTTTTGAGTAGTATAGTTTTTTTGTTTTTTGAAAATTCTTCTAATTTTGTTTGTTTAAAATTTAGGGAAAATTACATATAAATGGAGTCAAAGTTTCATATTTACTTAGAGACTGAGTCAAAGTTCCATATTTCTCTAAAATGGATTGCTGAGGTGGCACATGGTTTTTTACTGTTTAGAAAATTGTGGTGCCTAAAATGCCCTTTCCTAATAAAAAAGTAGTACCTTCAGTTCAAAAAAGTAGTACCTTCAGTTCAAAAAAGTAGTACCTTCGGAGAAAAAGTAGTACCTTCGCGGGTGTTTAAAAAACATGGTACCTGGACGCCAAAAAGTAGTACCGTCAGTTCAAAAAAGTAGTACCTTCGAAGAAAAAGTAGTACCTTCGCGGAAGGGTATTTTAGGCACCACAATTTCTAAACAGTAAAAAACCATGTGCCACCTCAGCAATCCATTTTAGAGAAATATGGAATTTTGACTCAGCCTCTAAGTAAATATGGAATTTTGACTCCATTTATATGTAATTTTCCCTAAAATTTTAAATAATTGTTTTAAAGTGTGTATAAATGGTATACATGCTACGCATATATATTAAAATACTGAAGGTGTTTGCAGTTGGAATGTGTCATTTAGAAGAGGTGTTTGTAATTAATATGGTAACAATTATATACTATTTTAAAAAATAATTAGCTTGAAAATGTTTTAATGAAGAAGTGTTTATATAATTAAGAAGTGACTATTTGAAAATTCATGTTTATTTTTTAAAATTAAATAATTGATTAAATGTATATAAATAATAGAAATAGAATCCACTTTTATAAGGGATATAGATATAAATGACAAATATATTTATATTTGAAAATATGAAAGGGCATGTTTGGTTTTAGATTTAATTATATTCAGTTTTAGGTTATCCCAATTTTATACAATTTGAGGTTTATATTATCCTTCTACCAAACAAATCATATTTTATACAAATTTGGACAAAAGGGTCATTTTACATGGCCGGTATTATAATCATTAATTTATTCAACTGAAATGAGGGTATTATCGTCATTTTACACCACTAGGGACTCAATCGCACCAAATTGATAGTATAGGGGGGTTTTTACCACACAGGGACTGATATGCACTATATTGATAGTAGAGAGGTTTTATTTTGCACTTAACCCTAATATTATATATCATTTTAAAAAACATAAACAAAACAGCTTTTACCAAACATATTTCATGTTATTGATTTAAAAAATTTGGTAACAAAATGACATCTCAAACGTGTTTTGATTTCAAATTTCTTAAAATGCAAGACGTTATCAAA